GAAGATAGAAGTTTGGGACTTTTTTTAGATTTTTTTTTGTAGTAAATTGGATATGATGATGTGATATTATGATATTCTAATAAGGATCGGCCAACTATATCCAATGTTTGCGATAAACGTATATCCGGTTTTAACTACAAGGGTATATCAACTTCGGTTCCGCCCGAAGTTAGCTTTCCTTTCTTGTTATCTCGTATTTCCATGGGTCCGATCACTTGAAACTCCATTTTTGGAATTCTTGAACAGTAAGCCTTGCGTTGATTTATTCTATTGTCACAATCAAATGAATTGAATTTTAAGAATAAAGATCTATGTATAGACAAAAATTAGCTAATATCAAATAAAGGAGAAAGAACAGCTATAGTCGAGTTTCCTGACTATATTATACTCGGTTCTCATTTCTTCCACTCACACTTCAATTACCCTTTAAATTTTAAACTTTAACGGTATGGATTGTCAGCAATACGTTTTTGTCAATACGTTAACTCCTCTAAAAATTGTCTGATTTGGCAGCAACAAATTTCCCAAAATCGTCAATGAACAAGATTTCCTTTTCTGGGGCGCGAGTGGGCGTGGAAAAACTTTGACAAAAACTTGATCTGCACGGATAGTTCCATCTCATATAGTCTTCGAGATCCACGCGTTCAAAATTTTAGCCCGTTTGCATGGAAAATGGTTACATATATATGTACATATGTATATACCATATATGGTTATCTTCTCTAAAAAGAGATAAATCGGATGAATTGGATGAAATTTGCGCTACAGAAATTATGTGTAACCTTTTACACGACTTTTTAATTATTAAGCGGTAACTCAAGCCGTCTTGGTGACCTTTTCTTGTCAATGGAGTATCAACGCCACCAATCATATAATCGCTGGCTCTTAGTCAGCTTAATTGGTGCTGATAGCGACAACTGTACCTGAAATGACGACCAATAAAGAGTAAGCAAATTTAAAAAGCGTGGAACTGCAGTTATGGGTGCAGTTAAATGGAAACATTGTTTGCTTATTGCTTGGTACTCCTCTAGTTCAGCTGCTCTCCCACATTGTCTTGTCTCGTAAGACCCGAGGCTTTTTCCTAGAATAGGTGTACCCTTTGCTCGCATGTTGAAAAGCGAAATGCATTTATTGTGAGAGTCGGCAGAGATCTCACCAGCTTTTCGTCTTCAGTTTTCAGTCCGAGCTTGTCTACTGAATGCGTAGACCGTGCAGATAATTGCTGAGTTTGCTTGCTTTTTAATTTTCGCTCTATTATTTATCTAAAATTGTAGTTCTTAAAAAAACACACAGAAAATATTATCCGATAACTTTTGTTTGAAAAATACATATTTTTGGAGAAAATTCAGAAAAACCTACCTTCCTGTCCTAACAGCTTCTTCAAATTAAAATTTCAATTTTATCTATTTACGCATCAACGCATAGGTTGATTTACCTATCAACGCACTGACCGCTGACATGCTTTCTGAAGTGCTTCAAGTGCACCACTTATGTATTTTGTCACAAACTTCTACTTTCAAAAATACCAAAGTTGGCATTTTTACTTAACACCATTTCCGATCGTTCAGTTGTATGGCAGCTAAAAGATATATTCGGCCGATCATTGTGAAATTCCGACTTATATATTGGTGCAAAAGAAAGAAAGGTTTGTGCCAGTCGATAGCTTTAAAACTGAGAGACTAGTTCGCGTAGAAACAGACAGAAAGACGGACATGCTCATATCAACTCAGGAGGTGATCCTGATGCTGAATATATATACTTTTTAGGGTTGGAGATGTCTCCTTCATGGCGCTGCACACTTTTGACCACAATTATAATACACTCTGCTAGGGCATAAAAATACCAAAGTTAAAGCATTTCCGATCAATCAATATACTTTATCGGAGTATATATACTTTACTTTTTTACTTTGTCGGGGATTTCTTCTTCATTGCGTTGCACACTTTTGGACAAAATTATAATACCCTCTGCAAGGGTATAAAAGAGCGGGATCGCAGAATAAATTGATTTGTAATATGAACAAACCACCTAGTATATGTGCATAAAAACCTCCTCTTAAGCGATTGGCTATATATTTAAGAATATCGTGAGGAATTAATTTAAAATAATAAAAAATTAAAGATTATAAATTAAGATCAGGGAATTTAAGAAAAACAATATAAGATTTATATAGTGCAAAAAGTAAGGTTCGCGATTTAACAAATAATATAAAGAATAAATCTGGAAGATTTGATAGATAGCTTTTCTCAATTAAACTTAACAATGGCAACCGGAGGTTCAGCACCAAATTTTTCTGCAGGTAGTGCAGCCCCAGCCGGCGGTTTAACAGTGGAATTGATAAACAGATTAATAAACGCTGAATGAAGTTAGCGTGAAAGTAGAATGTTTAGAAGGAATGCTAGCCACAGATGCAAAAATTGTGGAAGATTATAAAACACAAACAATTGACCCAGCTATAAAATGCGATACAATACTTGAAGGGGTAAAATCCTTACCAAATTTCACAGGAGAACCATCACAATATTTAGGTTGGAGGGAACCTGCAAAAACTGTAATGAGTCTTTATTAAATTGAAAGTGAACAATATTTTATCGCCTCAACAATTTTACAAAATAAAATTATGGGAGCTGCCCATGATGCTCTTGCCAATCATGGCACAGTTTTAATCGTTAAAGCAATCTTATCCCGATTGGACTTTATATATAGTGACAAACGACCAATACATATTCTCGAGTCAAAACTAAGTATCCTCAGGCAAGGACAAATGACAATTACTGAGTACTATAACGAAGTTAATAAAAAAATGACCTTACTAATAAACAAAACCATAATGGACAGTGTAATTACCAAAGAAACAAACAATTCAATAAGGAGAAATGCTCTACGAGTATTTATATCCGGTTTAATGGATTTAAAAATGAAAGTAAATATCGGGGAAACAACTTTTTGCGTCGAGCTTGTTGGTGAGGGGGGAACGCACATGGATCGGCCGACTATGTCCTATAGCTGCCATATAACTGATTGATCGGAAATGACCCAACTTTTGTGTTTTTGAAGATAGAAGTTTGGGACATTTTTAAGTTTGGTTTTTGTATTATCATAAATTGGATTATATTATCATATTCTCATAAGGATCGGCCAACTATATCCGATGTTTGCGATATATATCCGGTTTTAACTGCAAGGGTATATAAACTTCGGCTCCGCCCGAAGTTAGCTTTCCTTTCTTGTCTTTTATTGGATTATAAATTTAGGAAAAAACATTAAAAGAATAAAAATATAATAGACATAGATTTAAAATTAAAAAAAAAAGGGCCTTCCCGAGCCTGGTTTGAACTCGTTTTACTTTGCACACCAGCCAAGCACTCTACCACTCGGCTATTCCTCATTCGTTGTCGCGCGAAAAATTTCTCAAACTTAACTTGTCGCGCAATGGAACCCGCCATAGAAAATTTTTCTTTGTATGAGATGTCCCATCTATGTACTTTATAATCTTTGGATTTGATTAAATACGACTGTCGCGGAACGAACTAGTGGCTATCGATAGTTGAGATTAGTGTTAGGTGTCAGATGTCAGTATTTTGTATGTTTAGGGTTTTAAGTTTATGTTATCTGTTCACACTAAATCGGGTAGTTTGGAAGAAATAATTTAGCGGATAAAGCACATCGATTTGCGCCATCACAGAAAGGGGAAAAGAAACTGCGGTATGTAGGATAAGGAATTATGTATCAGGTTAAGAACAATTGTCTTGTAGAATAAAACGCTCGTTACGCACCACATCACTTCAACAACTGTCCTATCTGAGTGTTATAAGGCATTCCCGTGATCGGCCAAGCGGTGACAAATTCTTTTATTCGCACTCTGCAAGATGATGCCCACGAAGCACTCACCCAGGCGGAGCCCCAGGCTGGAAGCCTCGGGCGTTCCCGCAACTGCGACCACCACGGCCACAGCAACTGGCACCGCGACCAGCTCTGCGAGTGTGGCTGGTGATCGGCAGAGGCCACAGACTCCGAAGGAAAGTGAAACAGCCGCCAGGAAAGCGGCAAGTATTCTGCAGCCCGAAGCGACGGGGCAGACTACGGATTCCACAACTGTAGTGGCGACCTTAATGGAAAGGATCGCACGTCTGGAGTCGCTGGCGCTGGAGCTAGCGAAGGCAAAAGCAAGTGGAGGACAAGCAGAGGCCGCCAGAGATCCCGTTGGAATCGGGGAACGCGGCGTTGGAGTGAGCGGTGCAGCGAATACACCGCATGTTCGAGTGGAACGCTGCCACATCATCGAGCAGCGCCACGGCAGAGTTTGAGCGAAAACCTGCCCAGGCAGATGAGGGACGATCTGCAAACGGATCTCGGAGTGACGCCATCGCTGCAGTTGCCGGCACAAGTGAGTGCAAATTTTCCGCCACAATGGAGTGCGAATTTGGCGCCGACGCTTGGCGGCCATTGGGCAAACGGGCAACCTGTGTCAACAACAACCATACTGGGCTATTCTCCGCCATCTTGTGTGACCGCCGCAGCACAGCCGGTGCTAGGTTATGTTCACCCAGAGGTACCTGCGCCATCGCCCATATCATATGGAGCGCCGACGACAAGCATACAAGGATGGACGCCACGCAGACTACCTGATCTTCCCGATTTCGAGGGTCAGCCAGAGGAATGGCCAATATTCCTGTGTGCGTTCATGGAGACAACTGCAGCCTACCAGTGCACCGAGTTGGAGAACAACCAGAGGCTAGTGAAAGCCCTGAAGGGCGAGGCTCGCGAAACAGTGAAGTCGTTGCTCATCCATCCCAGCAACGTACAAGCTGTTATGGAGCAACTACGATTCCGGTATGGACGCCCGGAGCAACTGATCCGCAGCCAATTGGAGAGCGTGCGCGAAGTTCAGCCGATTCAACATCGCGAGGATCGTGCCGTTCGCGACGAAGGTTAGCAACCTGTCAGCGTTCCTGCAGTCGACCGCGACCGCCAGCCAGCACCTAGCCAACCCAACCCTAATGGAGGAGCTGATAGCCAAGTTGCCGCTAAGCAAGAGGTTGGACTGGGCAAGGCATGCGGCCACGATACAGCCGTATCCGACGGTGGCGCACCTGAGCGAGTGGCTCCATGAATTCGCCAAACTGGTGTGCACTGTCTCGGACGCCAGGGAACAACCGAAGCGAAGGATTCTGCACGCGAATAGTGTTCGCGAGGAGGAGCGATATGTCGACCGCCCCAGATGCTGCCCTATATGCGAGGGACAGCACCAGGTCAGGGACTGCGAGGACTTCATCAGCGCCTCTACAACGACACGGATCGAGTCCGCGAGGAAGCGACGACTGTGCTTCTCGTGTCTGGAGCCCGGACACATGTCCCGGTTCTGCAGGAAGAGCCGCGGATGCAACGTCCTCGGATGCCAGATGAGGCATCACCACCTGCTCCACGAAGTACCTGAACGATCCAAACGGCCGCCAGTCGCAGATGGGGGCCACAGGAGGGATCTGGACCGACAGCCGTACAGAGACGGCAACAATCGGAGGGGAGTGCCACGGTCAGTGGATTCCAGCGAAAGGAACCATCCTACGTCGGCCGCAGTTGTAGACGCGTGACGTGAGCGGGATGAAGGGCGATCGGCGTACGATCGCCAGGAGTTGCCGCACCGAAACCTCAGCATCGACTCAATTGGATGCCACCTGCTGTTCGGGATTCTACCCGTGACGCTGTACGGCGAGAATACGAAGGTCGACACGTACGCACTGCTGGATGAAGGATCGTCTGTCACACTCATCGACGACGAACTCATCCGCAGCCTGAACCTGAAAGGCGAGAGTCGACAGCTGAATGTGCAATGGTTTGGTGGAAAATCCGCCAAAGAGCACACGAAGGTGGTCAGTCTGCAGATCAGCGCAGCGGGCAAACCAAAGCGCCATGGGCTGAAAAATGTGTACGGAGTGGCCAATCTGAACCTTCCGATGCAGAGCCTGCGTCAGGAGGATGTACAGGCAGTGAAGGCGAACACGCGTCTGCCGGTGATGCCGTACAACAATGCGACGCCGAGGATCCTAATTGGACTGGATCATGCGTATTTAGGAGTACCCTTCAGAACCAAAAGTTATGGATCTGGAGGGCCGTTTGCAGCAGACACCGCACTTGGATGGGTTGTATATGGACCGGTGAACGGAAAGCCGAGCTCGCCGCTTCTGAGTTCGTGCCTCCTAGCCGTGCCCCAGGATGATCTTCTGGAGAAGATGGTCAGCGACTACTTCGAGACCGAGAATTTCGGAGCGAAGCCGGTGCAGCCAGTCGCAGCTGGCAGAGTGGACCTGGAGCCGTCAGTCGGAGATAGCGGCGACGCACGGGCCCTGAGCACCCTGGAGAAGACGACCAAACGTGTAGGCCAGAGATACGAGACCGGGCTGCTATGGAAGGACGACGAAGTGAGATTGCCGGAGAGCTACAGCATGGACCTCAGGAGGCTCGTCAACATAGAGCGTAAAATGAAGCGCGATGTGGACTTCGCGTCGGCTTACATCCGGATAATGGACGATTATGTCAAGAAGGGATACGCACGACGACTGGAGGCCCAGGAAGTCCAGAGGTTTCAGAAGGGCAAAGTGTGGTACCTGCCGCACTTTGGAGTGGAAAACCCAAACAAGCCTGGGAAAATCCGGCTGCTTTTCGATGCGGCTGCCAAGGTGGACGGTGTGTCTTTGAATTCAGCGGTACTGAAAGGCCCACAGCGCTACAAACCCCTCCCAGCAGTGCTCTTCCATTTTCGGGAAGGAGCGGTTGGAGTTCAGGTGCAGACATCAAGGAGATGTTTCATCAGGTACTGATGCAGCCGAAGGACAGATGCGCCCAGAGGTTTCTGTGGAGAGACGGAGACGACCAGCGAGAGCCGGACGTATACGAGATGACAGTGATGACGTTCGGAGCGGCCTGCTCACCATGTTCGGCGGACTACGTGAAGACCGTGAATGCCTTGCGGTATAGCAGCACGGACCCGCGAGCAGCCCTGGCAATCAACGAATACCACTACGTGGATGACTACGTCGACAGATTCGCCAGCGAGGACGAAGCTATCGCCATCTCGACACGGGTGAGGGAAATTCATTCTGAAGCAGGTTTTGATTTGTGCCGATTTACCTCCAGTTCGGCAAGTGTGGTCAGAGCGCTGAACCCACTTGAGTCCATCGCCAGCGTCGGATGGACCGAAGCTGAAGAGAAGGTACTTGGGATGTACTGGCAGCCGGCTACCGATGATTTCAAGTTCGGCGTCAAGTACCATCGAGTCCCGAGGAACGTGATGACGGGGGAACGAGTCCCTACCAAGAGGGAGTTCCTAAGCCTGGTGATGTCTACGTTTGACCCGATTGGGTTCCTGAGCTGCTACATGGTGACTGCCAAACTGCTGCTGAGGGAGATTTGGCGGAGAGGAGTCAACTGAGACGAGCCGCTACCGGATGAATTGGCCGCAGCCTTCGAGGATTGGCGGCAAAGGATGAGTCGGATCCAGGAGTTCCGATGCCCGCGCCACTACTTTGGCGGCGGACGAGTGCAGACGCTACAGCTGCACATCAATCGGCGTTCGCAGCAGCGGCCTACTGGCGGGCCACGTACGAGAACGGAGACGTGCAGGCGCACTTCATAAGCTCCAAAACGAAATGCGCCCCGATGAGGACCATGTCGATCCCGCGACTGGAACTCCAAGCAGCGATATTAGGCTCGAGATTGATGGACACCGTCAAGCAGGAGCACGGTGTGGCGATCAGCAGCTGTGCGCTATGGACGGACTCCAAGACTGTGTTGCACTGGATAAGCAACACCCACCGGAGATACAAACAGTAAGTCGGAAACCGGGTGGCGGATGACGCGACAAGGCCGCGCAAGGCCGTGGACCTGAGCATCGGTTCGCGATGGCTAAGCAGACCGCCGTTTCTACGAGGACCAGAGGAGAGCTGGCCGAGATCGAGCGAGGACTGAATTCCTCCGACGACCGACGACGAGGAAATGAAATGTGAGTTTGCCTTGGTCACGGTAAACTTTATATCCCTGCAGAGGCTCTCCAGCTATAATCGACTGGTGAGGACGACTGCGTTGGCGCTCAGATTTGTTCGAAGATACCGTGGAATACGTCGCGATGAAGAGGTCTACGGATTGACTGCGATGGACTGCGCTGAAGCAGAGCGCGCATTGATACGGCAGTTGCAGCGAGAAGCGTTTGCTGAGGACAGCCAAGGAAACGTCGCCAAGGACAGCCGACTGCACGGACTGTCCCCATACCTTGACGAGGACGGAGTATTGAGAGCCAGTGGAAGGATCGACGACGCGACGTGTGTGCCATACAACGCACGTCGGCTGATTATACTGTCTCACGAGGAGGCGCTGGCAGAGATGATCGTGCAGCAACACCACGAAAAGATGTGCCACCAAAACGCGGAGGCGACGATCGGATCGATTCGGTACAAGTTCTGGATAACGAACTTGCGGAGACTGCTACGGAGGGTGGTGAGCAAATGCAACGTTTGCAAGCTGCGGAAGGCACGACCCACACAGCCCGAGATGGGCCCCCTGCCTGCGGATCGGCTAGAGGCCAACGGATGGCCATTTCTTTGTGACAATTGGACGTCGCACAGAGAAGAGGTGGGTGGCACTGTTTACGTGCCTGACTACGAGGGTTATCCACTTGGAGATGGCTCACGATTTGTCCACCGACTCCTGCATAATCGCCATAAGGAACTTCATGAGCCGCCGTGGACCAGTGGTCAGGATAAGGAGCGACAATGGGAAGAACTTCGTTGGAGCCGACCGCGAGGCCAAGAGGTTCAGCGAAGTGTTCGAGCCTGCACAGATCCAGGGCGAGCTGTCGTCTAAGGGAGTCGAATGGATCTTCAACTGCCCGGCGAACCCAGCTGAAGGCGGTGCCTGGGAGAGGATGGTGCAGTGCGTGAAGAAGGTGCTGGCGCACACAATGAAGGAGCTCGCGCCCAAGGAGTATAAACTGGAGAACCTGCTGATTGAGGCGGAGAGCATGGTAAACTCTCGTCCGCTCACTCATCTACCGGTGACGGTGGACCAGGAGGCTCCACTAACGCCTAACGATTTGCTGAAAGGAGCATCGGATATCCCAGATCTCCCCAAGGATGATGGACAGGAGCCCGTGAGATCCGCTACTAGGAAGCAGTGGCGCATAGCAAGGATGATGCGCGATCGCTTCTAGAAGCGTTGGGTGCATGAGTACCTGCCAACTCTTGTGCGCAGGGAGAAATGGTGCAAGCGCGTCGAGCCCATCCGTCGAGGAGACCTGGTATTCATCTGCGATCCAGCCATACCACGAAGGGAATGGAAACGAGGCGTCGTGGAAGAGGTGTTCACCGGAAAGGATGGACTACCTCGTCGAGCAGCGGTGCGGATTACCGATCGAGCCAAGACGACTATGCGTCCCGCTTCGAAGCTAGCTGTCCTGGACGTGGTGAATGCGGCTGCTTCACGGGAGTGGGGATGTCGCGGAACGAACTAGTGGCTATCGATAGTTGAGATTAGTGTTAGGTGTCAGATGTCAGTATTTTGTATGTTTAGGGTTTTAAGTTTATGTTATCTGTTCACACTAAATCGGGTAGTTTGGAAGAAATAATTTAGCGGATAAAGCACATCGATTTGCGTCATCACAGAAAGGGGAAAAGAAACTGCGGTATGTAGGATAAGGAATTATGTATCAGGTTAAGAACAATTGTCTTGTAGAATAAAACGCTCGTTACGCACCACATCACTTCAACAACTGTCCTATCTGAGTGTTAAAAGGCATTCCCGTGATCGGCCAAGCGGTGAAAACGACAAAATAATAATACCACTAAAACGGGAAATAATTTTAATCATAACCAAAATTACAATTGGCCACAAAAGGGAAATTTTTGGCAAAATAATAATCAAAATAACAATCAAAAGCTATCGAGCCAATGGATGTTGATCCACCGATTCAACTTCAGAATAAACCTAATAACAATCGGCAGCCAAGTCAAAATTGGCAGGCAAATAGTAACCAAGGAAGATATAATAATTGGCAGGCAAACGATAATCAAGGTAGATATAATAATAATTATTATCAAAATAAAAATCGTTCAAATTTCTATAACACAAATCAAAATAGAGAGCAAACTCAAGCTCAAAAAAGGGAATCAGATGGAACAGAAAGTCAGCCAGCTAATAAAGTAACCAGATTAAATAATATTAATGAAGACCATTTTTTAGACCAGACCCCTACAGAGGAATGCCTTATTTAAATAGGATAGATCGAAAAACCAAGAAGCAGCTAAAAGTTTTAATAGATACAGGAGCCACTGCTTGTTAAATAAAAAGGGGAATTTTTGAAAATAAAAATGAGCTACCTATATACAAAAAGGTAACTACAGTTCATGGCTATTCAATTATTAGGTATTACCATATTATAAATATATTTGAAACAAAACAATTATTTTATGAAATCGGAGGTTTAGAATCTGATATTCTAATTGGATTAAATTTATTATGAAAAATTGGGGCTACAATAAATATAAATAAGGGAATCTTGGAATATAATGGGAAACAGGAGAAAATCAAATATTATGATAATGAGGAAAAAATGAAATATGTTTAATTGAAGAAAATAATATTGTCCCGTTAAAAGAATTTATTATAAAAAAATATTTTGATGATAATGGTAGCGAAAACACAGATTCATAATTTGTTGAAAATAGTGAGAAAAGTTTGGGAATTATGGTAAAAATCCCGAGAACGCCGACGTAGAAATATTCGTCAATAAAAATAAAAACATCTTGGGAATTAAAAATCCTGAGAGTGCCGACGAAGTGCCGAAAATCAAATAAATAATATAGGTACCGACCAATTAGGCGAATTGAGCGAAAAGATAGTTCACTATATTGAAAAGGAGCATTCAAAGATAAATATGCCAATTCCTTTTAGAACAGACATAAAGGAGGAAATAAATCTTATCCACGATAGGCCAATATACGGGAAACAATATCCGTATGCTCTATCTGTCAACGACTTCGTGAATAGCGAAATCAAAAGAATGTTATCAGAAAAAATAATAAGGCCTAGCGGAAGCCCTTACAATTCACCACTTCTGGTAGTCCCAAAGAAAGGAGAGAATCAAGATGGAAGCAGTAAATTAAGACTCGTCATTGATTATAAAAAATTAAATGAAAGTACTATACCTGACAGGTACCCAATGCAAAACCCATCAGTTATTTAATCAAATTTGGGAAAAAGCAAGATAGTTTTCAACAATAGATTTAGAGTCAGGATTTCATCAGATATAAATAAAAGAATCTGATGTCAAAAAAACATCCTTTTCAATAAATAATGGAAAATATTTTTTTAGAATGCCATTCGGATTAACAAATACACCAAGAATCTTTCAGAGAGCAATGGACAATATTCTAAGAGAAAAAATAGGGAAAACATGTCATGTCTATATGGACGACATTATAATATTCTCAAACTATATTATTAAGGGCAAACAAGAAAATCTCTTTAGAAAAATCTAAGTTTTTCAAACGCGAAACCCGTTTTTTGGGTACATTGTATCCTATATCGTCATCAAGACAGACCCAAAGAACACTGAAACCATTAGTAAATATCCATCAAACTACAATTTTGGCGCCCTTTTACTTAATGGTTGCATATTTGAATAAATAGTGCAATTTACGATTATTCTAGTGCAAGTTTGGTTTTTAACAACTATTAAGGTATGTGCTACATAGAAAATCTGTGCTTGTGACGTGTCAGTATATGTGTTACTTATAAATTGTAGTGGATTTCGAGTGTATTAACAATGTGCGGAATAGAGCGCACACCAGTCTTTCGTTAAGTATAACTTAACAGATTCACCTGGATTCACTCTGCTTGCAATTGTTTGTTAAAGTGTGAATTATTACCTGTCCGAAGTGTCAAAAGATACTGCGTATCTACAAGTTATTTCACTTTTTAGGAAGAATGTTAATGTCGAAGCGCGCACTTTTCTTAGTATGGCACGGCGAAGCGATCCCCACTAAAAAGTTTTTCGTAATGGAAAGCTTTGCATTAGGAGAAGTTTGTAGAAAATATGATTGTAACGAAAAGGAGCTTTGCAAAATTGGGAAAAAACTGCGCAATTTTAATAGAAGGCTTGTCCAGTAGTGGAAGAAATACGATATAAACAAAAAAGAAAAGCTAACTTCGAGCGGAACCGAAGTTTTTATACCCTTGCAGTTAAAACCAGATAAATATACCGCAAACATCGAATACAGTTAGCCAATCCCTATGAAAATATCATTTTTTTTTTTTTTTTTTTATTTTAACGTTGCTTTTATTTCTTGAATCTTCTCTTTGCGAGACTAACAAGAGGTGTATCAAATCTTATATTTTTAACTTAACTAACAGTCATATTGACTGATACGGAGTTAGACGGCCCTAAAAATCGATTGCTGGGTTGGGAGGTCGTTGCGTCTAAGGCGGGATACGCTAGAAACCCGAGTCAATCCCCGAGCGAGAAAATTTGGGTGCGAAGACAGTTTTTCTTTGTATGACTCTTTTTGCTTCTGGATTTCGTCTTTCACTGCGAGGATGCCCAGATCCCGGTGGATGTTTTCGTTGCGAACATACCAAGGTGCCCCTGTGATAGTTCTCAGGATTTTTGATTGTGCGCGCTGTATGATGTCTATGTTGCTGCTGCTCGCGTTCCCCCACAGCTGGGAGCCAGATTGGCTTTAGGACTGAATTGTACAGTAGTAACTTGTAGTCTAGGCACAGTGGCGATCGTGAGTTTATGATCCAGTGGAGGCTGCTGGCTTTCAGTTTTAGATGCATCTTTTTGCATTCGATGTGCTTACGCCAGGTAAGTCGTCTATCAAGGTGAACGCCAAGGTACGTTACGTCGTTAGCTTGAGGGATCTGCATACCGTTTAGTAAAAGCGGAGGGCATGTTTGTCTATTAAGAGTAAACGTTATATGTTTACACTTTTGTTCGTTTATTTTAATGCGCCAGTCGGACAGCCACCTTTCCACTATTGTGAGATGATTAGCCAGTTGGGTTGTTGCCTGCGTTGGGCATCTGGAGCGACTAAGAATAGCGGTATCATCGGCGAACGTTGACGTTGTTAGTTGTGCGCTCGTAGGAATATCCGCAGTATACAAAACATATAGACACGGCCCGAGTGCGCTTCCCTGTGGAACTCCAGCTTCGATGGTGTAGTCGCCCGAAGTAGCTGCGTTGCATCTCACTGAGAATACCCTATTGAAGAGGTATGATTCCAGTAGCTTGTGGGTGTATGTTGGCAAATACGTTTTAATTTTGTGCATGAGTCCGATGAGCCAAACTCGGTCGAAAGCTTGAGATACGTCGAGGAAAATAGCGCTGCAGTATTCTCGTTGTTCGAAGGCTGAGCGTATTTCGGATGTTAATCTGTTCACTTGTTCGATGGTTCCATGGTTTCTTCGAAAGCCAAATTGGTGTGCCGGGATGATATTGCAAGCTTCCAGATGTGGTATTATGCGAGTTAACAAGCATTTTTCAAAAAGTTTAGACAAACAAGATAGAAGGCTTATTGGTCTGTATGATGACGGAATTGTGTGGTCTTTTCCAGGCTTCGGTATCATTATAATAATGGATTTCTTCCACTTTTTGGGAAATAGCCAAGATTAATGATTCCATTAAATAGTTTGCAGACGACCTCTATAGCGCATTTTGGAAGTTCGATCAGCATCTTTAGGGTCAATAGGTCACCACCGGGAGCCTTTTTTGGTTTTAGCCCTCTTATGACTTTTTCGATTTCGTTCGGCCGGAATGGAGGTGCGGCTGGCTGAGGGGAGGACTCTGGCTGAATTACTGGCAGGAGGAATGAATTTGAGGCTGGGTTTGGCTGGAAGACACTTTGGAGATGTGTGGCGAATGTTTCAGCTCGGTCTTCGTTGCTGCGAGCCCAGCATCCCGAAGAGTTTCTTATCGGGGTGGTCGTTTCAATTGGGGCACTAAGATTTGGGTGGGCCCTCCACAGGGGGTACTTTGTGCTTGTTGGCGAGAGATTCTGGATGTACCTCAGCTGTGCATTTTCTTCCTGTTGGTGAAGAGCCTGGTCGAGTGATCGGGTTGCTTCCTTAAGGCGTTGTTTTGAAGCTGGTGATCTGCTGTTTTGCCAATCACGACGCGTGCGCCTCTTTTCTCGCACGAGCTGTTCGATTTGCTGATTAGATTTGAAGTGTTTGTTTCGGTCTACTTCTTTCCTATGAAGAGTAGAGATTTTAGCTGCCGCAACGAGTACTTCTTCCAGGGCGCTCGTAGTGTAGTCGATGTCCGATTCCATGTTAAAATCCGGGGCGAGTTCTATGTGGGCACTCACGTACTTTTGTATTTTAGCCAGTTTGTTTTTGTCGTCGTCAGACTGAAGGGGTGTTCGGTTATTTCTGGGCTTTGAAGAAGCGTTAGAAGCACAGGCGAGTGGTCTGATGATAAGTCCGAGACTGCTTTGGCACTTATTAGATTGC